AACCTCGGGGAGTATTATTTTTTTTTCTAAACGGTGAACAAATACAACATAGTAACACGTATAATTTCGACATTTTCAACTATACGCTCTCGAATCAATATTTTTGTACAAATAAACATCGCGTTTACAATGTTTATTGATCAATATTTTTTAATCATATTGAAAACAATACGGCATATTACACTCGTTCTAGAACAATACTATTTCTCTAATAATAAAATAGTATATTAGTATACAGTTTGAATGTTTCGTAACCAATTCCGGTACCGGTTCTCAAAAAAGTATAATAACCGTTCCGTTTCTTTGTTAAAAAATAAATGTACCGGTTCCTATTATTAGTATAAATCTAATTTTAACATACCTAACCATCGTCCACCCGTTAAAATGTATTATAATTATAATATTATAGTAGTAAACGAACAATTGTTTTACAACATATTTGTGCTAATCAATGAAATGCACAAAACACTGCTATGAGATCGAAAATAACAATCGCCAAGTTATTATATTATAGTTTTATTATATTATATTATATTATAGTTATATTATTATTTTTAGATTGACCGAACGTTTCACTTGCGCATCGTTTACCGTAATATTACACTTGTGAGCAGTGTATCTCTTTTATTATTATCATCGCTTTATTTCGAAGATAATATAGTATTGATTCCAATTACGGTGTATACCAGTGGTATTTTCAACCTTTTCAACCCACTTTTCTTACCAAACATTTTTCGGGACCCATATCAACTTCGTTAGCCATGAAAACCAGTTATAAAAAGTTAAAATTGCTCAATGTATGCCATTGTCGAAGTGCTTTTATAACTAAATTAATTATCATTTATATATTTTTCTAGAAAATAAATATATAAATATTTAATTTTTATTATAAGTAATGATAAAAAAAAAAAAAAAAAAGAATGCATGTATTATACTGAGAAATATAAATGTTATAATACACAAAAAAAAAAAATTATTGTGATATTTATCCCGGACTGTTTTCACACAAAATACCTCAACCTCGGCTCAATTTTACACATTGCAGTTTATAGATATTTTTATATCCGATATCATATAACAAACATAATATAAAAAATATATATATATATATATATAAATATGGAATTTTTTAAATTTTGAACCGAAGACTTATCGCGACTCAATCTTAAAGCTTACGAGACCCAAAATTGGGTTACGACCCACCAGTTGAAGTCCACTAGAGTAAATCAATTTCATATCATATTATAGTATACAGTGTATACTTCATTTCTAAATAATACTATTTTTTGATACATTTATTTATTTTCGAATACACGTCTTTAAAATTGTTATCCAAAATGATTTTAATGAACAATTAAAATTACGTCTCGCTTACAAATCAAATAATCCGTTGAGTATAATTAAAAAGTCGGATATAAAATACTAGTTTAAATTATTATTTCCCTAAATAATTCAAGTTCTAATAATTCTTTAAAAACGCAATATCGTAATAATAAATCTTAAATTTTTGTAAAAAAAAAAACATTTTAATTATAAATTGAAACTAGAATTAAAAATGTTATATCTGTCAATGTAAAACAAAATATAATTAACTATTTAATTTGTTTTTTTAATAAAACTTTAATTGAATATTATGTTGTTTCACTAAATACTACAATTTTTAGAATAAATATAAAATAAATAAAATAATTTGTTTTTCCAATTCATTTTTGAATATGATTATCATTTTACTAAAAACATTTTACATTCGTAGCTTGAAATATAAAAACTTATTTATTAAGTCACAATTTTATTATTTTTATGCTGCATTGGATGTAATACAATTAAATCGAATATATTCCTAGCGTTTTATTATTATTATTATTATAATCCATAAAATTCAAAATGAAATTTGGCTTATTGAATTAGGTATATATATATATATAATTAGGTATATATGTTATTACAAAGGTTAGATCATAAAAAATTCGTAATACAACAAACATTTAAATTGTTACTTTATATTATTGATACACATTACGTCTGTGTACACTATGTTAACAATATTATATTATCACTTTGCCATAATCGTATGGCACTAAGATAACGGTTTTAATCATCAACAATGTTTCAAAGATCAAACTATTAATGTATTGAATAAAATTTCCGATTCATTATTTGAGTATATGAAACTAATGATTATATTGCGATCCGGCTAGATTTACTAATTTTCGGTCATAAAATATCAAATTGCATTATATTTAAACGTATATTAACACATTTTTTATAGTATAAAATTCGATTTCTTGACAATAAACCCACCCCCACCCCTAAGATTTTTCAACAGAACACTATAAGATAACAAAAATGTTTCATATGTTATCGAACAAATTATTATTACAAATTTAGAACGTCAATAACTATCCGTCTGCGTTTGTTTCTATAATAATATCACCCAGACGTTCAAATAAATTCAAAACCTCGATCAGATGCGTGAAATCTGGGCCATAGTTTTTTTTCCATTCGTTGACAAACCCTCGATTGAATCCGAGTAGCTACGAAATATGTGCGATAATTTTAACACCCGTCTGCATGGTAATCGAGTGACGCGTGGCATCAATGTAGTACGAGAGTTTTATTTTTAAATCTCGTATTCCCTCCGATAAAAAATGCGCCTCTATGCCATTACAAATATGTGAACAAATCCGCGAAATGTTTAATTTTATCGTTACCAGATGCGTGCCAATATTTACCTATACAAATACCATAACTGCAATATTATAACATTACTCTGTTTAACCGACAGTTAGTACTTTGGAGTAGATAAAACGCATTAGTTAATCGGTAGCAATAAAGTTAAGATAAAACGGTCTGGATTAAACGTTTTATTGACCATATCAGCGAGATTACACAAGACTTTGAATACTGAACAAGTATACGTTTCATAAATCCAAAAACATATTTACTCGTTAAATATTTTTCATGTTTGCCTAAATTCTTATCGCACATTGTTCTATTACTATTATTATAATCGTTATTACTATACGTATACGATCAAGTTTTATGTCGAGAAGGAGGGTGCTACAAACAATTTTATTCTCTTTGCCAAAAGTTAGAACTTTTTACAGTATATTTGCAAAATGATTTTTAATACAATATTTATTCGTTTAGGATAAATAAAACCTATTTGGTGTTAATTACGTTTCAAATGAAGAGTCTTATTTTTATATTTTAATTGCAAAGTATTACAATTTATGGACGAATAAAAAAATATTTTAAAGTTGGAAGGTTTAACCTCCAGAAAACCCCACACTGGCAACGTGCCTTTGCACCACCTTTCGTGTACACTACACGGTGAATTCTGCCAAAGACTGCTGCAGCCAAGAGGCAAGGATAATACACGAAAACGATCCGGGTTAAGTTTATTGAGTGCAGACGCAGAATAATATTTTGCCGATAAATTTCTGAACAGCAAGCCGAGCTGAATACCATATATGTCTAAGACTAAAAACATCTTCAATGCACTTCGACTTGGGCCAGTAAAAATTGTTTCGTCGTTTCCGATTCGGTAGGATTAGTTTCCGTACGTACGGTGAAAAAAGCTCGTAGAACCGTCGATGTCGACGTCGGAAGTTTTTCGTAATTCTACACACTTAAACACAATGTCCGTTGGAGACGGATCTTCGGTCTTACGATCAGCTTCGTTGTTCGTTAAATATTGAAACAATACCGTTTGGACAATACCTGCGCGGACTCTTCCCCCCCCTCCCGGAAATGCCGGCGGTTTTGAAAATACCTCACTGAACGCAGAAAACAGCTTTCCGACAGCTCTCGATGTCTCCATGTCCACAGGTAAACGTTTACAGTTTTAATGTTATCACTTGTACGGTCGGTGAATATCAATGCATTTCGCACTGCACTTGGTACATTTGCGCACGTTCAGAGAGCGACGGACGTGCAACACCTTCAGGAAATATTCGTTTTGGAAACATCGGGAATACCGCTGACAGCAGAAATAATAATCGATACAATACCGTTATGGACTTTGAGAAAACACGCATTTACGAAACGTATTGCATCACGTTTAGGCATGGAACGACAATAATTGCGCCTCGTTGTTTTGCCGCAGCAGCTGTCCCGTCGTACGCATCAGTCGTTGTTTACCCATCGACCGGCGCTGACCAACGAGTTCAACGAGTCCACGAGTGTACGCACACATACACACACACACACACACACACACACACACACACACACACACATATACACGCACATACACGCACTCACTGTTCGTTGTGCATCACATTATTATCGTACTCAAAGTATACGGTCGCGATTAGGCTGCTCGTCTATAGCGTAACGTAATTCAAAGTGTATCGTTTTTAGAAGATTTCGAAAGAGAGAAATGTAAAAAAAAGGTATCCGTAGCTGTTTGTCGTTCCGATTCCGCGTCATGTCGAACGAAGATCGCGGAACAATTGTTATCGCTAATAACGGTTCACGAATAACGGCTGCGAACTATGGCAGCACGTTTACGAGTAACGTATTGTTCTATTGCCGTTTACCAGTGGCGTTTTTAAATTTTTTAAAACATATCGAGGGGAGGGGGAGTCTGTAGCCCACTAGGCCCTTCTCTATATACACCACTGCCGTTCACGAGCGTGTGACGTCGTACATTTCGTTCGGAGTCCGGACGGTTGTTTGAAACGATTCAAATCGCATTGAAAAGAACGGTCCAAAAAAAATTGATCCATTTAATACGCAATGTATTTTTTAATCAATCGATGGCATTCTAGGTGAAAAGTGAATGAAAACATAAAATAAATAATAACTTTTAATACGTATTACATAATCGGATCGACAAATAACATTGCATCGATACTCATAAAATATCGTATCAACCAAAGGTCGAAGTGGGAAAAATGAATAATACTAATAATACACCATACAATGAATATATTATGTACCAAATTATAACTATTTGTACATTTGCAAACAAATCATTTTTTTTTTTTTTTTTACGTTTCTAACGACCTCGCACTTAGAACATTATCTTATAACATTTAAAAAAAGGCCTAGGTGTGGATTTGACTTCCACAACCTTCTCCTTATGTACGCCACTGTACCAGACATTACTATTCATATATTTTTCTTGAAATGACGATGCCTCTGCTTATCATAACCACCGTATAATCTTTTATTATGAAAATATATATTCTCATATACCTATATAGGTACTGAGAGTAAATATGATTATAATTACTGTACACTCGTTACAAAATGTACCGAGTTTTAATAAAAATTATTTTGGACATTAGTCAGGGTGAAAGTGGCTTCCCCCGTATCAGAGAAAAAATATAGTTGAGGTACGCAGAAAAAAAAAAAAAAAAAAGTAGAGGAGCTCCATCCTCCTACGCACCCACCATTCGATCACTGGTATCAGCGATTCGATATTCACAAAAACGAATCAATATTTTAAAAGATCGGACCATGAATATGGATTCGTAAAATTCGCACGAAAAACATCGATATTTTATAATACCGTACGGTTCACCGCGAGTCCTTCACGATTATTGTACACCTACCCAGGTGTATTGGGTCGCGCGCGCCGTAATCCGTGTGTAATCCGTGCGCGCGTAAATGTGACTCGCGCCCGTGTTCAACCGTCTAAAACGTAATAATTCATCGTGACGAGATACAATGCGTATAGTAGTATTAGTCCACGCGATTATGATGTCGCGGTATCCATTGTGGCCGTTGCATTCGTTGCTAAACCTCGAGCAAGGGCGTGGAGTGCAAGCAAACCCGGTTTGTTACACGATAAATCGAATTGACATTGGGCCACGTAGGTGCCTCGTTAAACTTGTTGTTGAACAAAAGGTAAACAGAAAATTATTAATTCTCATTAATATTCAATCGAAATCGCTTGCAGCACTATTTAAACTATTTTTTTTTTTTTTTAATTTTCCGCGTGAATTTTAAATCACCAACGTTTTGTTTGTTTTATGTTCTTATTATTTATTTCAAAGATGAGAGAGAGGGAGATAAATAAATATACCTTCAAATGTTATATTATTGGATTCGTTGTGTACCTACTATCGATTTGAATATTTGGAGCGTTATGTAGTTAAAAATTGTACGCTGATTTACTTATAAGTATTTAAGTATTTCACAATAAAGTTAAGTATTTCGTTCTCCGTTCGAATAAAAAAATATCCCGTTAAACTGTTGCGTTAAACTTTGATCGATATTTTTTATTAGTACAGTAAATAATTGGCGGAACCACATTTATAACGACTTTGTTCATTATAATTGTTTATTATCATTATATTTATTTTAAAATATGTAATAACATTTACTAGTATAGTACATTGCGTACCTAATCTATAGTTACAGTTACGATGAAAATGTTCGTTTGTTGTTTTCAAATCGAGCTCCGAATGGATATCGTACTATAAGTGCAATACGGCTTTTATAAACCTATGATTATAGTTCTCGAATTTGAACGTGATATTTATTGACATTAATTAGGGAGTTGGTAAATTGGGTCTTAAATAACCATTTTCCGGTAAATTGGATCCCGGGAAAAAAAGGTAGTTGGTTAAGTCAAAGGTAAAGAATTTTCTTTTAAATATCTAATAATTTTTATTAGAAATCAATTTTAATATTATTGTGTTTTTTATTAGATTTTCGGTAAAAACTTAAAAGATAAGAAATTAAGAAACTCAAATCGACGTACAGTACGCAATGCACGCTACAAAAAACATAGTGAAAATACTCAGATTTCGTACACTTGTGTCTGTGTGTAATCATAAAAACTATAATCAATATCGGTGTTAACTGATAACTGACACACGATGTACAACGAACTACGGCGAGGTAGTGTAGTTAGTGGTTGGGACTCAATTTACCTACTACCTTTTTTTCCCTGGCACCCAGCTTGCCTAACATCTTTTTTTAACCCGGAACTCAATTTACCGCTTTCGAAACGTACACAAAATATCGCGGACTCAATTTACCGAGTCGCATTAATTATTAAATCATAAATCCGTTAAACTACACGCAATACACCTGCACGACTACTCGATCTCGGTGTACAGTTTCGTTTTTTATAGCTATTTATTTGCTACAACATGGCCGTTATCAGGGGCTGATTGGCCTACCAGGAAATCGGGAATCTTCCCGATGGGCCGGTCCTTGTTTGGGGCGTCCTACATTATTATATAATTACCAGAAAAAAGTTTTGTTCTGCAAAACAAATAAAAATCATTAAAAAATAAATATATATTCAGAGACGCGTTAAGATCAAACTTCAAGTTCAAGTTGGAACCGATTAATCGTGTGACTTACCCGAAACTATTGTAGCCATAATTATAGTTAAGCTATTGTAAATTTTTTTTTTTTTTTTTTAATTCAGAGGTGAAACCAAACAAATTTTGAAATCGATGCAAAACAAAGCGTCTTGTTGGGCGGAGGGAGGGGTAAAACGGTTTAACTTTCGGTTCGCGGACCGGTTCGTTTCGTATTTCCTGGGCCGAAAACGATTGCCGATCCGCCGCCGGTTGTCGATCATCGATCTGATTCTAACGCTCGTGGGTCGAACAAAGACCGCAAGTGATCGACAGCAAATAAAAACCTAAACGCTTCGTTATCGTTCCGCCGGAAACAATCGATCGGCGCCCATGCTAACACCGCGCGCAACGCCGGCTGTCGAACCGGCGTCCGCTGTCGAGTGTTCCGTTTATCGACCGGCCCGGATTAACGGACGGCTCAACGTGCACCGGCGAGGTCGATTGGCTCACGGGAGCGAACAACGCGCCGGCAATAAGCTGCCCGCGTTATCAGTGCCGCGTTCGAGTGTTTGGCGGAACGGTGTCCCGCGCGCCCGACGCGACTCCTCCGCCCGGCGGGTCGGCGGGGAAACCGGTGGAGACGGTTCGACACGAGACGAGCACTCGAAACGCGCGGCAATAAAACGCGCCCGATCGGTCGCCGCGCCCCGGCACCGTTGTCGGCCGTCGGCCACACTCGTCTTATACCGCGCCGTCGCTCGCGTCCCGTTACCGCCAACACTTCGGTCGGCAAAACCGTGTAACGCACGGACATCTCGCTCCCGACGCGTTTTCCGAACGCCGCCGGACCGCCGTTCCTCGGACGTTTCCCCTACCCTCCCACCGCCGCCCCCGTTTGGTTGCTGTTTTCATATTTTACGCGTCCCCGCTGATCGTCCCGTTCGCGCCGATCCGAGTGATATGTTCGTGTTTCTTTCGGTACGCAGGTGACCGCGGAACCGGGACCGGACCGGTGGTGATGGCTTCAGCAGCGGGTCGCGGATCACCGAACGGTCGCCGACGTCAGTGCGACCACGCGGAACGTTCCACCTGCGGCGGCGGCGGCGGCGGCGGCGGCGGCCACCGATCGCTGATCGACGAACGGTGGCCGTCCACGGTGGCCGGCATCGCGTCCACCCTGGTGGCCGTGCTCGTCGCCTGGTGCCTGCTGTGCGTGAACGTGACCCCGGCCCTGATGGCCGTGCCCGGCGGCAGCGTGGCCTCCGTGTTCCTGTTGTACGTGGTCAGCATGGCCGCCGGCAGGGCCGTGGCCGCGGTCGGCGGCCTGCCCTCGCTGTTGGGCATGATGTTGGCCGGCATCGCTCTCCAGAACTGCGGCCTGTACACCGTCACCGCCGATTGGTGTGTTCGTCTGGTGTCCATCATGCGGTGCGCATTACGAACACGATATATGTCAACGGAAGGGACATTTTAGCCCGTTAAACCCCTGTCCCACCCACCCCTCAGTGTATGGATGGTATCCGTATTTCACATTTCCACCGCGTAGCGTAGACGGTTCTTACTAAAAAAAAATAATATGTTCTCCTTTGTGACCGGAAGCGGTTCTGACCTATAACACTCGAACCAATGGTACACATGAAATCGTTGCAGTCGTACTCGTATTGCTTATTCTTGTTTCAAATGTCGTTTTTTCCAATACTTAACATTCATATTCGTTCGAATCCCGCTCTCCCTCATGAGTGCATAAATATCATTGTCTCCGAAATTTAAAACACCCGTCCGCATATTATTTACATAAAACTAATCCGCGTATTAATGATTTTTGGTACATAATACCTTTAAGATGAAGTTTACGACCAATTTATTTCCATCCAACCCGCTATCGTGTACTCGCACTGAAAACTGATTACAAGCTGACCAAATGTCGAGTGTACACAACATTGTTGACGGGACCAATTAATACGGATTCCGTTCAAAGAGGGTTTAACAAGAGTTGCTTCAACTACAACCAACAACCATTCTATTAATCCGGTAACCGATGTAACGTTCGCCAGAATATAATTGAATACGACTAAAGTGCAACGGTTTTTAATGCACCGCATTTAGAAACCATTCGATATGTACAGATGTATAACAGATACAGTACGACTTTTCCACCGGTTTTATTTTCATCATTATTGAGCACGTTCAACATTTTTGAATATTTAAAACGTTGTCAAACTTCTAACTTTACATTGAAAAAATATATATCCACCGAACTTATATTAATGATTGATTTTTTTAAGTACTCGTATTTATTTATAAAATATTGAACGAAAATAATAATATTCGTGTAATAATGATTTCGTATCCTTCTGTACGGTTCTATTTCAGCCTATCTTATGAATTAGCATTTCCCCGTATCTGAGTATTATTCATTAACACTTATATTTATGTGTACATTATAAGATAGTGAACACTTAACATATTTCGGAACGGATAAACTATAATAACGAGAACACCAATTAAAGATAATATGTACTATTAACTATTGCTTCAGTTTCAACTGCTATACTGTTCAGAGTTCGAGTTATGCCGGTTTTTTGTGTTTTAATTTGAAAAACTAGTACAAAGATCAATGGTAAATCATATGCGAAAGGGATGAAGTAAATAATTGATCGAATATGATTCGAAAAAATATCATCATAAGTCTCATTTAATTTTCAAAGAGTTTAAAATATACTTATGGTTTTTATTTTGAAGTCGATAAATAAAAAATGATGAATAACTAAATTTATTAAATCCAGGAAAACGGCAACGCCGAACAACAAATCGCGTTCAACCGTGATGTTTTCCGGGCGCGAGTTAGGCAGGTCCTTTATTATTCGCGAAGTATGCTCAATCATGCGCATAAAAGGAACAAACGGGTTTCACCGATATTTCTTCTTGTCGGAACGAACGAACGTATACCCAGGGGTGATTTTCGTTCACTACATCTCGCGTGAGAACTTACATTCGCCCTATGTTTTCTGTTGCGTCTCGTCCCTAGCGAACCATTATTTTACTACTCTGCTGCGGACAAATTTTTACTTCTTCCTCGTCCTAAAAAGATCACTCTAACATAATTTTTAGCATCCGACACTGCATGTCTGCTACATGCGTAATCCCTAACCCGGATGATCCTAAAGATCGCTAGTATCACTGCAAAGAGTTCCGCGCGCAAGAACCCGTCGTCGTGCGGAACCCAGTTGCCGGTGCATAACTGACCGTACATTTTTCGTTGGCAGAGAGGCCGCGCTGGCCGTGATCCTGATCAAAGGCGGCTTGGAGCTGAACGCCGGTCAGTTGCGACGGCTGAGCGGTGCCGTGACAAGACTGGCTCTGTTGCCGTGCATTTTCGAAGCCGTGGCCGCCGGTGTTGCCGCGCATTACTTGCTGCCCGATTTCTCCTGGGAATGGGGCCTGATACTCGGGTGAGTGCAACAAACAATTACGGAAATATGCTTAAGATCAGATTCAAGTGTTTCACTACCGAGTGCGTTGCAAAATTTCGTCTGTAGCTCATAAATTTTGAACGTATTCGAATGCAAGTATTTCACATCAGTGTAGTATTTCGCATTCTATTTGGTTATCGTACGAGTGCAGTCGTTTCGTATGACATCGGGTCGGGAAAGTTCTGATGAAAATGTAAAATCATCGAAGTAAATTCGATATGCGCACATTTGTACGCAGCGCAGCGATAACGGATCAACCGTTTTACGTTTGCGTTTTACAGTGCACCTACTCCTACCTCCGAGACTACTAGTGTTGGTTTCTTTTTCAAAACCCAAATGCGCATCAAAAAAAAAAATAATAATAAACATGACCTGAGGAACCGTGTGGTCGGCCGACGAGTATTTTTTACCACTTGAGCATAATAAAAAAATAAAAAAATACGTGAACGCTGTGAAACATTTCGGCAGAAAAAGAACGTAGTGGGGATGAAAATAATACCCGCAGGAGAGATTTAGTTAGCGCGTAGTTGATATCAGTGTTTTTTTTTTTCGGTTTCTCCTGGAGAGAGGAGGTTTAACACAAAAAAGATCCCCTGGCTAGATTCAGTAAGCAAACATGGTAAAATATATTATGGTAAAAACGATTTTGCGAGGCCCATTTCTTTAATTCATAATACTTTTAAGATGAGGATTTTCCCACTGCAAAAAGAACAAATTCTCTCGGCCTTTCGAACACTGTTGTTAAAACCATTTATTTAATTACAACACATAAAAAAACATCTCATGATTTTAAAGCGATTTTACTGTAAGGTCGGATGGTCAGGACCAAGTTTAAGCGGCTTAACACGTGCACATTATTTATATTATAAATATTGAAAAAATAGCGTTTCCGATATTTTCTCACTAACGCAGACATAGGTTTTTGAAATATGACGTTACGCCCTTTGTTGTTTAAATATTGGCCGACCCAAAGGGGAAAACTTTGAATTAATGGGGCCAAATTCGCGCGTCAACCGCATCGGTGTACAATTATTATAATACGGCAACATCGGATCGTTTGCAATTGACCAATTAAACATATATTTTAGCATAGACCGCGACGAGCAGATCGTGTTTTGATTACGTTTTTTAACATACAATCGTCGCGGCGATCGCAACAATTATATTCTCGTTACGTATTGTACAAAGCAACCCGACAGTAAAATCGGTATCAAACAATCGGGACTGTCGAAGAAATCGTGTTTCAAATTCGATCGAAAAACAATGAACATTTACATCTATATCATACGAACAGTAGTATTTACCGAAAACTAAACGGGTGTCGTCGAAGCGGGGAAGAAACGTGGAAAACGGCGGGGAAAAAAATGATAAATCATTTTTTTGTAATATATTAGAATTCGCGTCGGCCGTAATAAATGCGTACATACAAGTCCAACGGACTCGCACAGAATAAATATAATCACAGTCACCGTTGTGGACGGACACGGAATTGCAAACACCGTTTTACCGTCGTAATTTCAGTGATGCTCCGCGGGATAGCATCATTATCGTGCTTCGTAATAATAATGTACATAGGTTCTTTCGCAATACATTGACGCGTGCGTTTAGACGGCATTTGTCGTACCAACGGTTCTCGATCTTTGCACGTGGGCGATACAAGATATTTACCCAATTTTTCGCGCGACTTTTTTCAAAATAATTTCCAATGCTGATCTAATGCAATCTAAGACATTTTCAATCACCGTAACCGGGACACAAGTAATAGCAAAATGCTGGTCGGTTTCTCGTCAACAATTTAAACCGTGCCCGTGCGAGTGTAGCTGAATTGGCTCCGGGATTCGGACACCGATCCGTTACCATCCGTGTCCGCGAATGTTGACATCGATTCAATACAAGTTATAGCTTAAAAATATCAGAATGCTGAACTTGCACTCGTTCGTCAAGGGCAATTATTTGCAAAATATATTGCATTATTTTCGTTCTAAAACAATTTAACACGGGTAGTCGAAAACATAAATATTATATCAACTTTTTTAATCTTTCGACCCGTTCAAAGTCATATCACAGGGTCTATTGACTTTAATCTCGGCGTTTCACCCGTTACAAAGGTTCACTCTATCGGCAGTCAGCCCGGCCGTACTGGTGCCGAGTCTGTTAAAACTAAAACGAATGGGTTACGGCGAAGAGAACGGAGTCAACACGTTGGTGATAGCTGCGTCAAGTCTAGACGACATCGTGTCCATTAGCGCCTTTGGCGTTTTACTTGGCATAGTGTTTTCGACCGGTACGTATATACACTTACAGATACTACCCGATGATCGTTTTCCTATCATATTAACAAGGTGTAAACAAATACTACAATAATATCTTAATGTCCAAGGAAAAATCATAATTTTTCGCAGCCAACGTGCAAAACCACTTTATTTATTTTTTTTTTTTGTATTTATCTTAATTTTATTCATCACAAATATTTTTCGGACAGTATTAAAACTTAAAAGCTCAGAATCAGTTTCGCGTGGTCGCGTGTTAACCGATTAATCGAAAATCAGATATAGATAATGCGTGATTGTTAACAATAAAATCCAATCAGAACAGTTTTTTTTTTTTTTTTTTTTAAAAAAAAGGTGAATAATAACTATATAAATGTCTGGAAAACAAAATATACCGATATATTTCGTCTAGATGAGCTCAAAGATACCGACTGCCAACGTCTTAAGACGTCTGAATGCGGTATCAAATTTTCAGATCAGCTTTATTTTGTTTTTTTATAAATCTATAAATCCATCCCAACTACCGTCAAACTAGATAATACGTTTTGCCTCAATTTTTTGTTGCTATTAATAGGAGATTTAACCAGTAAAATCGTACAAGGCCCTGAAGATGTTTGTATTGGAACTGCATTGGGACTTTTGTGGGGATTTTTTTTGATCTTCGTACCACCTTCGCCGTGGGCTCAGGTATACCAGAGCCAAAATGAAAATGAAATGACCGAAGAAAAACAAGTAAAGTGCACTAAACGTTAAAAACGGTTTTATCGGCAATGTAATTTTTTTAGCTACTTAAGTTTAAACACAATGTTTCATAATAATAGTGTTGTTTATTATAATTTCTAAAAATAATATATTCCAATCATGTAAATAATCGATTAAAAATAAAACATTCCCTTAAGTTTCAATTTGTACGATATTCCGAGCAAACCAGAAGAATATCGTTTTATTCAGACACATTCGTTTTATTATAAACTATTTTAATAGCAGTTGTCATTAAAAAAAAAAAAAAAAAAAAAAAAAAATAATGAAATAATTTGTTTACAGGTTTGTCACAAAAAAATTGAGCAATCCGTAACGGCTCAAAGGGCATTTTTACTGGGCGCCGGTGGATTTCTGGCTGTCACCGGTAGTCAATGGTACGGGTTTCCCGGAGCCGGTCCTCTAGCGTGCATCATATCGTCGTTCGTGGCGGGAACCGGTTGGAAATGGAGGGTGAGAAAGCAAAACCAGAACGACAACCCTGTTATTCCCTTCGATGGCGACGACGAGGAGCAGAGCCAAGAGGATCCGGTCGAAAAAGTGTTCGAACATATTTGGTTCGGTCTACAGCCGGTACTGTTCGCGTCCATTGGCACCGAAATCAAATTCCAACTGCTTGTAGGTGACGATAATATAATCTTTACTGCACTGATGGTCCTCGTGTTCGGTTTGATTGTAAGTATTGACCAACAAAAAAAAAAAAAAAAAGAAAAAAACCTTTTTCAATAATTTTATGTTTAGACGTCATTAATACAATAAGAATTTAATACGTATTACTATCAATAGTAATAATTACTCACATTTACTATGAGTGTTAAAATAGGTCAATTGATAATCAGTAATAACTAGACGCGTTCGCAACTCGCAGCTAACAAATAATTTCAATGTGCGTTGCATAACACTGTGTGATTAATGGTTACTTTACAGTTTACGCACGTAGTCGATGTAGCAAAGCAACTCCGAAATAGGCCCTAATTGGAGCGAAGTCTTCACTTATTTTTAATAGTAAGTGGTTGGGTGCAGTTGGGTTCGTTGTACTTGTTGTTTCCTAATAAGTTCAGACGAATACAATTAATAATGACTACATACAGACAAATACGTGCAGCTAACTACCATAACTACCAAAGCTAAAAATGTTTAGATAATATCCAAATATATTATACCAATAGTCAATAGTAAATATCCAAATTAGATACGGTATCTCGGTATTGTATAAACACAAAACTAAACCGTCACCTGATGTACGAATCTATAAACAATAAATTACACGGGGAAAATGCAATGGCCAAATGAGAGTATGAGTAATTCTATTTCGTTTCAATGAAGTATTCATATGATCCGGAGCCACTGCGGTTGGCCATCGTGGGGATCGAAGAGGTCAACTGCTTCGGAACACGAAAAAAATCGTTTTAACGTGCCCTGCACTGTTCATAGACGAAACGAAACGCATACGAATTTCACCTCATGCCCTTGATAACGCCACCTGCGATCGACGTCGTTAATGCGTTACCGGAAACAGATTCCGAACGCATGTCCCACGGTCACACGGTGATCGTAGGGAGCAGAACCCTTTTTCGTCAAAAACGAAAACGGTATGATTCCCTTTTCCGCCAAAATTTATTTTTGCCAAAAGACGTTTCCGCCAATTAATATTTGCGAACAATTGTTACATATTCTTATCGTTATAAATTTTAATGCAAGTAGGCAATAATAATATATTAGTCGAATACTGGCACAATTATATTAGAGTTTTTAAAATATTACATAAATCCATTCTCTTGAACTATTTCAAAGTATAAAACGAGTATAGGTCAAATATTGTCTCGATGGAGTTTTGAAAAAAAACACATATCGTCATTTTTAAACATTTAAAAATGTCACGCAAAATATAAATTATAATACAAGTGTATGTAAAGTTTTAAAAAAATGAATTCGTAAGTATATGTTGGGTTTTAAAAAATCTTATAATTAAAAGAAACAGTTGCGACAAAAGTGTATTTACTAATTTTATTGTATTTTTTTTTTTTTTTGTAATTGCGTCTTCTGTAATTTTTAAACGGTTTAATATATTTTTTTTTTTTTTGGAATTTCATTTATACTTCATGTTATTAGCCCGACAATTTTTCATGAAACATCTCCACCAAGTTACATTTTTTCATGTCGTATAATCAAAAATATATTTAAAACTATCAAAAATCAACATCGTTTTATCTCTTTTTTGCTTACGAAAAATTCCATTTTAAGACCGGTATTAAGTGTTGTTAGTCTGGCGATGAACAGAACAGATAATACTGAATCGAAATATAAGAATTTAACATTTGTCAGATAATTATTGCGTGCGAATTATAAATAAACTATGATACATTGTATGCTTTCTTCCGTTATCAACGATTATCGGTGTATACATTACAAATGTATTTTATACATACCACACAACATATATTTGATATTGCTTAAAAATTAAAACCAATGGTTTCCAAAAATTTTTTTTTGGCGGAAACGGGAATCGTACCATTTCCGTTTTTGACTGAAAAAAGCTATGGCGAAAACGGCCAATATTATTTTGGTGGAAACGGGTAACTCCCCCATCGTAGGCACCCGAACGACCCGGAGCATACTACCAGTTCAGGTGGGACTTAAAATATATAAAACGCCCATTAGGGCGCGCGTTTTCGACATCGTCGGCACTGCGTATCGAACGTGACGTGGTGTCTCGTACAAGGGTCTCGGCGACCGACAGTGATCGATTCGAGTTAACGTCCTGATCTCGTTTGAAGGGAAGACCAATCGCGATCGCGGATTATAAAATTATGCGGTACGTGTTTCAGGTTCGGACGATTGTCACAGCGTTATCGGTTCTGGGCACAGGATTCAACCGCAACGAAGTGATATTCATCAATGTTGCATGGCTCCCGAAAGCTACCGTACAGGTGATTAATAATTCGTCTTTAAAATTTATCATAACTCATTAGTTCTGCGGTCGGCGTTGTTTAACAGCTATCGCATGCCGTTTTCCCGCACTGCGACTGGTGTCCGTGACAAAACGTTTGCAAGTTTTCTTTTCGTTTTCCCGGACACAGGGCGTACCGTGATTACAATAACGCGATTCGATTACAATAACGCTTGTATAACTCGTATAACTCGACGGCCGCGTACATGTTTAGGGTATGCGTTTTCGTAAGGTTTGTTCGGGCATTCGAGGCCCAAGCCCTGGTTATCTCCAACCACTGCACTGAATCTATGTCACAGTGGTGACCTAAATGTTATCACCGCGGGATAAAAATCCCTCGACACGCGTACGACGACTGAACTACGTACTATGACGTAGTACTTATCGTTCGCACTACTACGCGCTCGTTGCGTACTATTATTATGTGTAATTTTATTCCACGCAGGCTGCCTTAGCACCGGTCGCTTTGGACATGGCCAGAATGATGGGTACGGAATTGGACAACGAAAGTGCCAGAAGGTTGTTGACCGTTTCCGTGATTTCCATACTGGTCACCGCACCTATCGGAGCACTCGGCATCCAGTGGTTCGGTCCCAAATTATTGGCCAAGTCCAGTCGGTAATATTGTCGCAGGGATTTCGAACCAGATTCATTTTGTGGACGGTCGTCTATTTTTAGTTAAGATCACTGCTTCGATGAGAAATTAAAAAATTAAATGAAAAAAAAAATGGATGAATAGAAAACGTATTGTTATATATGAAGTTTTTAGTTTCACCTCAAGAGCACTTGTACAATAAACGATTTTATAAACTTTAAGTATTGCAAATAATTGATGTTATTCGGTCATTCAATTTATATTTTATTTTAAACAATTTTTTATGCTTAAAGAGAAATAATAAAACTTGTTGTTATTTTACGAATGATATATACATATAGCAACATATAAACGAACGTGTGGCATTTTTAATTTGAAAAGTTTAGAAAATATTACCAAATACTTTCATTGAATATAAAAACAGGCCGGACACAAAGGTGTAAGACTTTTAAGTCTATAACTAATAATTTATAAAACATAACGATTTAAAATAAAGAGATAGTATAAAAAAAATAAAAACATTTAAAAAGATATAGGATATTTTATGAAATGATAGTATAAAAAATATTTGCATTTGAATGCAAAATGTACGAATAGTTAAACGTAATGATAATGAAAATCAGAACGTTTTTGAATAAAACAAAGATAGGTACTGAAATCGAAGGATTTATACAGGTGCGAAATTCAGTGATCACTGTGTAGAATACGTAATCTATAATATTTCCACGGCGTCATGTGTTTACAAAAGCAGCCAATTCTGCGGCGTATACAGTGCCGGGGCTCCATCTAGAAATTTGACGCCCGAGGCTAATGAAAATGCAACGCCATTACGTAGGTGAAGTACGGGGCATGTTCGAGGCTTATTTTATTTTTCATAAACACAAAACGAGCCTTTATACCAAAACCGTCAGGGGCAGGTTTACCCATTTACCTCTCCATCCCTGGCACTGGTTCTATAGTGTTATAACGACAACGGTGCGAGTTAAAAATTAAAAACAGGTCGGGGGTTATGAATAAAAATCTGATCATTTGAAGGCTGCTTACTACACCGTGCGCATCCGCGTCGGAGTACTTGCGCTCGCGAGTGCTCATTATACAACAACAGTTTATTTTAACGATTGTACGTATTAAAGAATCGAGTTGCGAAGAAAATTGCGATTCGGACTGCATTAGATATTATTTGGTGTGATATTGTTGATATTTTTTTTGTTTTCGTTTTGTTCAACGTGTCGCGTAAAGGTATAAGGTGCGGTGGTCCGCGATTTGTTTTCACTTGGTTTGGTGCACGTATACACGGACGGTCCGGGATCGAGGGGTACGGGAAAATTCCCGGTTGAAAAGCAAAAACGAAAGGAAAAAGGGAAAACCCGAGGAAAAATGTTAAAAGCGTCGACGTCTCGCCGCACAGTTCCGTTTTGTTTTCACGACGCGCGCAAAAAAAAAAAAAAAAGATAGACGTTGCAGCGGCCCAGACGTCGGTCACGGCCTTTTGGTTCGGCGGAATGCGATTTCATCAGCGAGAAAGCCATCCCCGTTCCACGGCGGAACCGTCTCCGCACCCCCAACGCACCACAAACGCGTGTTTAGAATTTCTCTATCTCATCGCCCGCCGACGGCGAACGAACGTTTTTCTTAATACGTTTTTGAGTATTTCTATGTACACATATATATATATATATATATGTATGTGTGTGCGTGCGTGCGTGCGTTAGGAATATCTTTCGTTCCCCTATCCCACCGCCGCGCGCGCCGTACACGAATAACAGCAATACACACCCCTCGAGCGGAATTTCGCCCGCCACGGTCGCGAACAGCAGCAGCAGACGAGGATAGGATCGGATGAAGTTTTCGCGAGAGGATTGCGCTAAGAACAACGGCAACGGATGTATACAACAACGAAACCGACTGTACGGTGTGTGCGTGAGTGTGTGTGTCTGTGTGTTTGTAGAAATTGCATCCCAAACGTTAAATTCCTACGAGTGTGTTGCGTTGGTGTCATATATATATGTGTGTACGTGTGCGTGTATGTGTGCAGGAGGATCACACGCCGCCGTCGCCACTGTGCGACACTACACGTATACGCTGACGAGAATATCGTTTTTTTTTTTCTCTCTCTCTATCTCCTTCTTTTTCCGTCGCGTACAGTTCGTGTCGTATTTTCATTTTCGCGGTCTTCTTCCACGCGCTGGTTGGTAGTATTTTCTTTATTGTTTTTTCCGCACCCCCGCACGGGGGGGTGCTACGCAAACGGTTATACGTCGTCGTCTTCGACGGTCGTGGCGGATAGCTGCGAGGGCTATCTCGTGTTGTTGTCGCCGCCGGAGGGTAGGTCGAGTCCCGTTCGATAACTCTAAAGCGTAAGTACATACGTATACACATACATGCGTATAATATTTTTCTATTATTATTATATCGCACGCGGGAGATCACGTCGCATAACTCTGATAACGTAAACGACGCGATTTACGGTGCAGTGTTAGCGGTACGGAAGTGTTGTGGTAAACAGTAAAAGAAATGTATTGCCACCGATTACATGTGCACGTACAATACACTGTGGTACAGTTGACGAGAAGGGAACGAGCGGGTCGCATAAATGTCCACGAATTCGGTTTATTTTCTTCTTTCTCCTCGTGGCGAAAATAAGAACGAAAAAAACGAATCAGATTAGTTTGAATCTCGAACGGGTTTTACGAGTGAGCAACGACGACCCGGATCGCTGTGTACTTTGTCTATTTTCGCGGCACGCCGAAGTATTCGTCGCTCCACGCCTGTCCACGGAAATGCGAAAGCAAAAACTGGTGTAAAATTGTACTTTACTTACACATTTCCGATTGTTCGTTTCGGATTTTCAATAACCTGTTAAAACGTACAAACCGTTGAAAATAATGTGTTTTCCAAGAGTTTAGAGCCATCGACATCACTAGTCACTTTACCGTCACTGTTGACCGGTTTTCATGTATCAATAAAAACCATGACCGTTATTTTTTGTCTCGACAACCCTATGTGTACATGTTCAAGTTTGATACGTATTATAAGTTTAAAAATTGTTTTTTTTTTTAAAAATTTTTCTCAATTAGATTAGACGATAATAATTTTAAAAATTGTTTTTATCGGTAACAATATAATTTTTTTTATAGACTGTTGTTGTCTGACATACGTTTGTATGTTCGTAACTCGCATCGCGTTTAAATTATCTCCCATCGCGCACAAGAAATTCTTGTCAAGAATATTGTCTAAACGAGAGCGCTATATTTAATTTTCATAATTTTCACTTATACCAAACGTATACGAGTGACACTATCTATAAACATCATCAGTTGAAACACCGCCAAACTGTACGTTATTAATATGCTCGCGATGATTTAATAGTGTATATCGGACGTCGCATATTAACTCGGAATAATAATAATACAATTTATTACAATGGCATTAGTCGTTTTCGCGACTGAGCGTTCAACACCATGGTTTAAAATCTATATGATTGGCCGTGTATCAATTCATTTGAAATTAGTATGAAGGAAGAAAAAAGCCAGTGCAGTGCGCGCGGGACGAACATACGCGGCCGCCACGATCGTACGTTGTGGCCGTCGAAATTCCTTTGGCGAGCGAAAAGAATGAAAAATAAATAAATAAAAAAAAAATAGAAAAAAAAAGGAACACGCGTCAAGCTCTTGCAGCGTCTAGGTGTGCAACCTAAACGTGAGATAGAGAGAAAGATACATACACATACTCACACACGTGAGTATAAATATTATATATACGAAGCGAGTATGGCGAACTGTGGCCGGAGTATAACGAGTCGGTAAGAAGGGTTTGGGAGGGGCAGGAGATCCTGGGATTTAACGTGGTTGAGATTTATTGGCCGTTGGACCATGCGCGTACGGTCACCGCAGCAGAAAAACGTCTTAAGTCATCGCGTTTATATATATATTAATTTTAATTTAAAGGAAACGCGCGGACGTTTTGCACGTTCTCGCAGAGCTCGTTTTTCACGCGAGAAACGGGTAGGAGAGAAGAAGGACCTAAAAATATAATACTCCGTACATACCGGTGCGCACGTCCTGCTTCTCCTCCTCGCCGTATTCCGACGCCATCCGCGCCACGTAACGGACCACCGGTAAAATATAATAATTGGGATTAAGTCGCACGCGCACGCCAGTGTTATTCGAACTTTAAAACGTACACGTGAACGTCTGCGGTGGCGTACGTGTGTTTGACTTGGCGATTATATTAACGACGCGAAAAGACGGATAGGATAAATATACGCGAAAACGCATATCCGTACGAACACGGCGAGGGGTGGACCGAGAATACGGTCGTGTGTGTTTTTGAAGAAAAAACAAGAGAGGCCCGGAGGACATATAACGTATACTCGGCTTGCGATGTTGCGTACCTCCTGTATACGCGCGCGGTGTTATAATGTATTATTCGTGCTGTACACACCTATGTACCGAGCGGATTTATATTAAATAAGCTTATCAAAAGTTTGACGAATAATTTGGCGTGGGGGGCGAATAAAATTGATAACTTCGACGCATGCATTATTTATCACGTCGTGTTTAAAACGCTCGCCCGTCGCCGTGCGTATACATTGCACCCATGGGCGCCCATTGGAGGGGGGTGAGGTAGGGCACTTGCGCCCCCCCCCCTGGAAAAAAATATTATGAACTTGTAGCTCAATAAATATCACCATAATATTAACTGATTACCGCGGCAAATTATTTGTTGAAATCACTTTTAAGATATGAAATAAGTATAAAAATATACTCATTGTTATCGTATATTAAAATCATAGATAGGTCGTAGTCTGTAGTCCGTATAGGTACCTATACGCAAAATTATTTATCGCAAATAATTCGTGGTAATTCCATTAAGATCACAATATAAGTACTACAAATGTTTTATCAGACAACATTGACTGCATTTTAGTCGCCATTTTCTGTGTGACATTATATTTATTGCTGACTGTTGAATGTCATTAGTGATTTTTCAATATTATTTTTTTAAATTTTCAATTTTTACTATGGATATTCGATCGTTTTTAATTAAAAAAAAAAAAATCTGACGTAGATAATTCATCTGCTGTGCTCAAGCCACACACATCGAAAATAAAAGTGTTTCTGCTCAAGTAAATTCAAACCCAGAATGTTCTACGTCAATAAATACGGTACCTACATTAACTATTAATTATACGCCAAATGATTGTGAGTCAAATCCAGAT